AAAAAAAAAAAAATTTTTTTTAATCTTGTTGAATGGAGAAGTGGCTAAAAGTTCTGAATGGGGAGCAAATCCATCATCCAATCGACAACGCAGTAAAAGCTTGATGTAGCTGTCGCACAACGACGAAAAGGCTTGTAATCTGTGCCGCCGCCGCTGCTGTTGCCGATGCTGATACTGCTGGTGATTGCTGGTTAGCGGCAGCAACAGCAACAGCAACAACAACAGCAACAGCACCAGGAGCAGCAGCAAAAGCGGCTTGCTTGCTTGCTGCTTACCCTTACGCCTTTCTGTGTCTGTTGGCTTCATCAAAGCAGCTTCTATTTCTCACCATTCTTCCGTTGCCTTTCCACATCCGCTGGTTAACAACTTCACTTCACGTGTTTTTGCCTAAATTGACTCAAAATTTTCTCCGTCCTCTAATACTTTGTAAATGTCCATCCATCCAACACTCTCCTCCTATCAACACACCCATTCACTCATTTATACCAATAAACACACACTGACAAGCATGCCACAGCCATATCCGTACACCTTCAGTTTCTACGCAATTTTTCACTGCATATTCAATGTCGTCACTGCGGGGAAAAAGTTTGCCATTATCTCGTCACAAGACACGCAACCATGACGTCATTTACCAAAAGCAATGCAGCTTGGCAATGAAATTGTGCCCTCTTTGCCTTGTGAGAGTGAGTTTGCCTCGACTAGCGCTATCCATTACGCAAACAATGCCTAAAAACTCCCCGTTCCATACCACATGTTGTTTGGCCAGACTGCAACCCCAGAAATTTTCACTCAGAAAAATTTGCAAAGAACTAACTCAGTCATGTATTTGAAATTAAACCATCTAAGAAAAGAAAAGAAGAAACACTGACAAAATCACAACGAGTAATGCAAAGGATATCAGCAAGTTGTGAGAATGTAATAAAAATCAAATGGCTTTTGAAAGTAATCATTTTCCGATGCTAATGAGTAAATAAAAACCAATTTCTAAGAAACTTAAACAGTTTTCAATAAGTAACTTAATAGCAAACCAAACTAACAACAAAACAAACGCAACATTTTCACAAGTGGAATAATTGCAAACATTTCTAGCTGATTAAAAAACTAACAAACCAATAAGAAAGTTATTAACAAAGCTTCAGTTGAAAAGAAAAAATTTAACAAATTACGTAACGCGTTAAGCAACAATCTGCCGGTAAGAATATAAAACTTCTCCCCGGTAAACCACCCAAATTTAGACAGAAAGTAAGAAGCAATTCAACAGACATTGAAGCAAACACATCATGAAAATGACATGACCTCCTTAATTCAAAAACTGCAGTAGACTTTCTAAACTAAAGCTGCTCAAGCAACAAATGGCATATTCATCCAATGTGACGTAATTTTATACAATCCGATGAGAAAATGCAGAAATTGAAGAAGAAAACCTTAACATCTTTAGCAAAAAGTGTCAACGGTAATGTGAACCAAATTATATACGCAGAAAAGTAATCAAAGATAGATTTTCTGATATAAATATCAACTACTAAATGTTCGTTAGGCCCATATCTACAAATAATTCTTAAACTAGCTTTCTTTGCAACACCAAAA